ATTTATCTTACTTTGGATAATAGTAACTCGTGTAAAGAATTAACAACGCGTAAAGAATAAAATTGAGTGATCTCACACTGGCATACACCACTTTCAAATAATTTTGGAAGATGTGCAAGCTTCGAATGATTCGAAGTTTTTTTTTAAATTTAAGATAAGAGGGTAAACTAAACTCAGTGGCGCGACAGCCCATAGAGGGCCAAGGCCTACTGTGCCCATCTCAGTTTTCTTGACCTTGGGCTCTGGGGTGCAGGAGCAGATGTTCCGGTCAGGTGGTCAGCCGAACGCGGAACCCCCAGTGTTTAGTTCCCAAGCATGCTTGGTACTCATTTATCGATCCACTGAAGGGATGAAAGGCTGAGTGAACCTTGCCCGGCCCGAGGATCGAACCAGGGACCTGTGGCACGACAGCGCGAAGGAAGCGAAGATAAGAGGGTACATACAGAATAATGATAAACAAGAAACTATTTGTACCTTATCTTGCTTTCGATTAAGGCGACGATAAAAACTGATTAATTCTGTAATATAATTCTTTCATACCTGAACTTTTTTAGATTGAGTTGTTTTCAGGCATGTTAAAAATATTAGGGGTTGTAAAATACCTCTTTCATACCAGTTTTTTTTTTTGGAGATGGAGTTATTTTGAGGGATATTAACTGTTTTCAAAAAATTATACTAACTAGAAGAGACTTGAAAACACCAAACAAAAACTGGCAAATTTTTAGCTCATTCAGCTAATGTCTTGAAAACCTCATTTGAAGAAGAAGTTGGTAGATATTGTAAAGGCTCAGAATGTTTTCAGGGTGGTGTGTCTTCCGATGAAGTGCCGTTTTTGCTAGCATGTACATCTTTAGATTTCGATTTTCTTGTAATTAAATTCTCAGTTTTATTTATATTGTTTAATTAAGACAATTTTTGTTTTATCTGCATTTTGGCGCTTTTGCACTTTGACCTATCGTTTTTAAATTAAATTTTGCTCTTAATTTTTGTTTAATTCTATTTTCATACTTTGTCCTAAACATTTATCTTATATTTTAAGAATTGTCTGTCTCGAACTCCCAATCATTAGAATTTATTTACTTTAAGTTGTTAATCGATTAAATATGTCTCTTAACTCAAATATTGATACTCCATGATATTTCATTCTCAATTGTCATATAGAATTCTAGGAACGTAGATTGTATTAAAAATATATAATTCTGTATCAATGAATCAGCAATTGAGCATTAAAAATATACATTTATTTTCAAAAGAACTCATTGTTCATATCTTGAAAAACCTATTGTATCATAAGCATATCATTAAAAATTTAATAATTTTTAATGCTATTAATATCATTAAGTAGTATTAAAAATTTTGTACTTCCATGTTAAACAAGTAATTTACTAAATTGAAATTTAATAGCAGTTTAATTTATTTTGCAACATAGATTTCACCTTTTGTTTCAGTTTCCCACAAAATATACAATTTCAGTTACAGTGAGATTACAATAAATGTAAATAAGTTTTTTTTTATTATCGCCAGCACTTGAAAGAATCCCAGCGGTATATTTGGTCCTATAAATAAATATTTGAATTGTAACAAATTGTTATGTTTGGAAAATATCTTATAGATGGCGATAGTAGGAGCAAGTTGGACCAAACTTGTTGTATATGCATGACTAAAGGCTTATGGCATATAAATAAACTTTGACCACACTTCATAAAGTATAATTAAATATTTATATTAATATATAATAATATTCAGGATAATGCGCTTAAGCTCTACCATTGCATAAAAATATTCCTGCATGTAATTGTGATTTGGTTGACACTTGTGGAAATCATCCTATGAGAGAATAAAACTTGGCAGTCATGCTATAGCTTGGTATACAGGTTAGAAAATCATGTCTTCTGACTTGTACGGCCATTGAGAAATAATTTTCTTAGTGCAGCAACACTATAGCGTTTTCACGTATTATATCTTCAATTAAAAGTTTAAAAAATTAACCTACCAAGACAAATCAATAATTAAGAGATATGTTTAAGTAATCTATTTAATAGCCTCTTTAATCTGAATTAATAGTCTGCCAAAATAAAATACTAATAAGGGTAGCAAAAGCCAGATGGATCGTAAGAAATGACGCAATACACCACGACCTCAAAATAATATATTGCATCAATAGACAAACATAAAATTAAATTAAATATGAAATTCTATGAAAAAACCCACCTCTTTCTCCGCAGCAAATTTCTATGAAATATTCCTATATGAAAATTTAACTGAAAGCAAGTGCATCAGACCAATAGCAGCATACTATTGCAGTGATGCATCATATTCCCTACATCAATAGCATGTACATAACCTCATTTTCACCATACCAGCTTAGCTCAAGTTATATCTCACATTTTTAAATTACGGTCTATCCACCCTGCTGCATATAACTACACAGTCAGAACTCGATGATCATCTATCCATATGTACTTTCATTTACTTCATTTGCATTCCACCTCATCGAAACACCACAAAGTTCAAGTTAAGGGTGAATGGGAAACGGGTTGCAAGCGGCTCTCGGGTGTCCAGATGTTTAATACAGTTCAGTTCACCCTCTTAAATGTTTAAGTAGTCTAATTTTTAGAAAATGCTTCCAATTTCAATTGTTGCTGTTAATTTGTGACTTTAAAAATTAAAGAATTGGATTTAGCTCGAAATGCATATTTAAGAAAATGGACTTCGCTGAAGGTGCGTATTTAAGAAAATGAACACAGCTCATAATTCGCATTTAAGAAATGGGACATGGCTCAAAATTAGCAATTTAGAAAATGTATAAAACTCTTTAAGAAAATGGATGTAGCATTGGATTTTTCAAACTACATATTACCCATTGGCAAAATGGGTGTTGCTTCGGGTTTGATGGCGTGCGCATCTCATTTGGCCATCATCACACTTTTCAACTGTGCTCAAGAGTAGCACTAAACAGAGCGCATGCGCCGTCATTGCATGCGTTGCTATAGCAAACTCTGCTGCTTCATAATTTTTTTTTTTTTTACTTTTAATTTTTTTCTGCATTAAGTAAGTTTATTTTTGAAATGTGGGACCAGAGTGATCCCATAAATACTTCTTGAGTTGTGAATAAAAGAGAATTTCATCATTTGAACAATATTTTTGTTTTTATTGTTTTACTCAAGAATCAAATATTCTAACCAACAGTTCTATCTGGATTGTTTGCAATACTAATTCAGGTGAATATCACAAATAAAGAGAGCAAAAAAAAAACAAACAATTTTTTAACTTTTTTATTTCATTTTAATTTGAAAAAATTATTTGAGTATTGTTCTCATTCTTAATAATTAGCTTATAAATTCACATAAATTCATAATGTAATGGTGTCTATTTGTATAAATAACTTAATTAACTTTTTTTAGTTTAGTATTCTTTTCAATGGTCTGCGATTTTCTATTCAGAGTTGCCACGGGTCTTAGACATTTGTAATATTGGTTGTAAATATACGTTAACACTTGTATTAATTAAATTTCGTTTTCTAAGTACCATTTAATGGTCATCAGAGATCTGAATACAACGGGATCGTGCCCAAAGATACTTCTGTAATATACTCAGATGCCCGACCCTGGAATCAAATATTTTTTCTCCATAATGATTATGCGTACATAGCTTTTTAAAAAGTAGGCGAAATTCTTTGCAAAATTGCTAAAGTTTGGGTTTATCATCGAAAGGCGTATTGTGTGTTGGGTATTTTGTACAGCTCAAAATTCGTATTTTGAGCTGTGTCTACTTTTTGAAATCCACAGTTTGAGCTACGTCTATTGTCTTAACCTCTTCAGACTCAAGGCACATCACCAAATAGAGGGTATTCAAAACTAGGAAAACAATGGTAACAATCTTTTCTCAAACCTGATTAAAATTTCATGAAGTTAATAGTCATTTTTTTTAGAATGACTGAAGTTTTCACATCACGATAAAGAAAATAAAAATATTTTTAACACTTAAGAATTAGCTTTGAAGTTTTCACACCACGATAAACAAAATAAAATATTTTAATCAGTTAAGAATCAGTTTCGAAATTTTTGCACCACGATAAAAGAAATAAAAATATTTTTATCAGTAAAGAATGCTTAAAAGTATGTATAATTTTCAAAATTAAGATGCCACTTTACTACAATTTTCAGACTATTCTTGAAACCTGCCGTATCAGGTCTGAAGGGGTTACATATGAGTATTCATCTGTGCCTATTTTCTAAAACATGATTCTTGAACTACGACTATTTTCTGAAATAAGTTTTTTGAGCTATGCTCGAAACAAAAACCACAGTTCCGATTTATAAGATAGTTTCATGAAAAAGTTCACAAATATTTATATATTTTATAATAGAGAAAAAAATAAATGAGAAACATCAGATAATCTATTTGAGAGATTCCTAATTTGTTTTGGCAGTGGTACCCTAAATGGTCAAGTCTCTTTTAGACCCGAGACTAAATTTATTCATTAAGTCTCAGAGTTCCAACCCCGAGACTTAATGAATAAATTTCATCAGCAATTGTAATCTTATTAATTAACGAAACACTATTATTTATTTTGAAAATATTAATTGATCAAATTTTATTTGTTATTCCAAAAACCTTTAGTGCATGAATGAAATTTTCTCGTATCATCATAACAAATTATTTTATCAATACCAGTGTTAAAATTAGGTTTCATGTCAGATTGTTAAATTCATAGGCCTAAAGAGGCAACTATAGTTTTTTTTTAAATTTGATTTTAAGGCATTCATAAACTAAAAAATGAATAAACTGAAATATCATTTTTTATTGAAATGAAAACGATGAGAATGGTTATTAGAAAAAAATAATTCTTCATTGCTGAATTTGCTTATTTTTATTCGATGCGAAATGCTGATGTAATTTTTCCAAAATGCATAATTTTTTTTTCTAATTCATTCATTCTTTTGTTATAAGAAAAGACAATGAAATGAAAAACAATGTTATGAAATTTATTTCTTCACAAACATTTCAATTAAAAAGTTTCATATAAAGTGCGCAAACATTAATTAAATAATAAACTATTAATTGGACATAATTTAAATTACAGGTTTCAAAAATCGTAACTGGTTAAAAAAAATTTAATTTCGGGAACCTTTGGGTTTCGAGGAACAATATTCAGAAACCGCTGGTCTCCAAAAAAAGAGAAAAATATGAAATATTATTTTTTTTTTACAAATGTTCTTTTTCAAGATAAGTTGTGTAGTAGTGGCAGTGACATTTGGCAGTATTATTGTTGGTTTTAGTAGCAAGGATTAAAGCATATACTTTGTTGTAAACACTAAGTGGCAAATAGGTAGATAATAATAATATAATAACAATAAACAGGTAAATAATTGATAAACAATCGATTATTTTTGCTAACTGCAGTCCAACATTAAATAATACTGCTTGCAATTGAGAATTTAATAGAAAAGATGAGTCGATGACGCGAGTAAGTGACATTTATAGGAGCATTTATAGAAAGATATAAATTGAACAAGAGAAATAATTTAAATTGGTCGAATCACTGTGGGTTTTCTATTTGTAACAGATTCGATTTTACTTTCCAATTTTAATTATAACATAAATAAACATTGGTTTTGGGAGTGTGATTGCATAAGTTTATTTTTAAATTAGGTGGTGGTAATTTAAATAAGGCACAAAAGTATTAGCCCACCTTCTAATAATTCTATAGCAAAATAGTTTGGATACCATATTTTCTTCTCACTCCACTTTGAAAATGCACTTAAACGCTTAATCTATTCACCTAGGCTCTCCAATTGTTATTCCACTTTGACAGTTAAAAAGAAAACTCTTTCTTAAAAATAACCAGATTGGATAGAATTATTCACCAGTAAAAATATTACATATTTTAAGTAGGAGCTTTTACTTTTCTAGTCATTTATACAAAAAATATAAAATATGAATTGATCCAGAGGCAAAACCTGCTACAAGCATTATAAGAATCGCTTCATGAATTTATTTACCAAATATATATAACGCTACATCTATTCAACTAGGCTCTCCAATTGTTATTCCACTTTGACAGTTAAAAAGAAAACTCTTTCTTAAAAATCATAAAAATAACCAGATTGGATACTAGTAAAACCTCACTCGTAAAACCATTACATATTTTGAAATGGAGCTTCAACTTTGAAAAACCATTTATACAAAAAATATAAGATATGAGTTGGTCTAGATGCAAAATATGCTGCATGCATTATAAGAATCATTACAAAAATATATTTATTAAGCATATTTAGACAAAAATTTACTCTTATTTCATTATTTTATATTTTAGTTGTAAAAAGTCCTTATCTAAAACTAACATGGTCTATTTTATGGTTTATTACACAGTTATTTTAAGGTAAAAATATCAAATTTATTCAAATTCCCTCATCCCATTGCTTCGGAGGCACTCTTAATGTACCATAAAGTATATTGTTGTATAGAGTACAATTTACCAACATTAGCATTTGGGAAGCATTAAAGTTTTAACTATTTTCGAAAAAAAAATTTCTAATTGCAGTTGAAGTTCAATGGTTTTAATAATTTCTTTATACCCATAATTCTCAGCAACTTGCAGAATTGTGTGATGTAATTCGTTTCTTGCATTTAAAACTGCTAATTTATCTGTTGGACAGAGTTTTTTGAATTTAGATGTTATTTTGCCATCTCCAATCAAGGCACCAATGAAAAATTCCTCAATTAGTTGAAGAAAATCAGAGATGCTGTCTACCGTTGCGCATTCTTTTGGTGTTTTACCATCTTTATTTCGTATGTTATAGATGGCACCGTACATGAGCAAAGTCTTGACAGTTTCAACATCTGCAGCTGCATGTAATGCAGAATTTCTACTATTTCTTGTTCTAGCATTTATAAAAGCAGTTAATTGTTTGAAGTTAGTTTCTTTAACATGCATGAGAAGTAACTCGATAATTTCAGTATGACCTTCGGACGCTGCTACATGTAGTGCCGTATTTCCTGTATTGGTTACAACCATAACATTGAATCCAACCCGCAATGCATAATTTACTAAAGACGTGTGTCCTTCCCTAGCAACAAAATGAAGAAATGTTGTGCCTTCAGAATCAAAAGTTTCAAATTGATACATATCTTGCATAAGTGATGCGCTTGGTTTCGAAGCTTTATACTTTGATGTTAGTAAATTGAATATATCAACCCCATCTTCCATTTTTTCTAAGTCTTGTTCCATTTTTAAAACCTTTGAATCATTCTCACCTGAGATAGCTTTTAATTTCGCAACATATCTTTTAGCTATTTTATAACCCTCACTAAATCTGTGACATTTGAATGACAGTTTTGCTAATTCATACTCAGCCATTAGCGTATATCGATGATTTGGACCTAAAACATTTTCTTGAATTTTTAAAAAATCTTGCAAGTCATTGAGAGCTTTATCAGATGAACTTTGATAATATAACAAAGACTTTACTTTAAAAAGTGACATTAAAGTGTCTGGATGAGAAGGCCCTAACTCTCTTCTTTTGTATTCGTAAACACATTTACAGCAAGATAGAGCCTCGCCGTACTTATCCGTTTCTGTCAAAATATCTGCTCGTAATTCCAGAGAGTGTATAGTCAGAGGGTTTTCTAAACCAAACATTTCTAGAAATTTTTCCAACATAATACTATTTTGATTTAGTGCATCATCATACCGTTTAAGTTCATTTAAAACTACTGGCATACTACACAATGTGATCAAAGTCTCAAAATGATCTAATCCTATTAAAATGCTTTGTTGTAAGTAAACATCTTCTAAAATTTCTATTGCTTCCTCATTTCGATCTAATCTATGGAGAATGGAACCAATATAAAATCGTGTTTTTTGAGTGCGAATGTTACCTAGTCCAAATATCTTTATCTTCCTCTGAAGCATTTCCTGAAAAATATCAAGTGCTTCTTGATATTTCTCCTGTTTATACAATATTATTGCTGAATTTTCCTTGGTTTCTAATGAATCAGGATTATCTGAAACATGAGTTGGAGAAATTTTCTGCAGCGATTTTGTTTGCTTGCTTATATGATCATAAAAATTTTCTTTAATAAATAAATGATTATAAATTTGATTGTAGGTCTCAGAATAAAGGAAAAATAGTTGCTGGAGATGTTTTATTTCAGGAAAATCATTGTCAATAGCACAAGACAGTAAAGTCTTTCCTCTTTTATTTTTTGTACACATAATCGATTTTAATACATCGGAATACATTATTTTTGCAAGGGTATTTAAAATCTCAATATTAGCATTTTGCACAGATTTGAAAGCGCTGTCGATTAGTTTTAATAGATCACTGACACTTTCGCTTGATGATAGATCAAGTGGAGTTTTCTTATCAGTTGTTATTGCATCATATATAGCACCATTTTCTAATAGAATTATTACTACTTCAATTCTGCCATAGACTGAAGCATAATGAAGAGGTGTTGCATTCTTTTCACCGAATATATTAGGATTTGCGTTGTTTTTTACCAAAATTTGAGTAATTTCAGCGTGACCTCTCCTTGCAGCATAGTGCAAAACCGTACTATCTGTTGAATCCTTAGCATTGATGCACGCACCCTCATCAACAAGTGATATAACTTTTGAAATATTATTGCATATAACTGAATGAAAAAGTTCTTTTGTCATCAGAAGGATTCCTTTAATGTCTTTATTTTCAATCTGATACAATCTAATGCAGTCATAAAAAGCACCATAGTTAAGCAATACTTTGATTAATTCCTCATGGTTAAACTTTATTGCAAAATGAATTGGTCGGAATCCATCGTCACACTCATCATTGACATCAATTCCTTTTTCAATTAGATATTTAACAATTGCTGTTTGGCCTCCACAAGCTGCGTAATGAAGAAGAGTCATATTTGCACTCCCACGGTCTGTCAACAGTTTTTCATCGCGCTGAATGAAGTATTTAACAATATGCAATTGTCCCATTTGAGCGGCTGTGTGTATGGGCTTTGAGCCGAAACTTCCAATTACATTTAAATCGGCACCACCATTTGTGAGAAATTTTAATAAGTCCAGGTGTCCACATTCAGCAGCTAAATTTAACAAAGTAGAGGCGCCATGGATTTTTTCATTTATGTCTATAATTTGTTTCTGAAAAAATATTTGTGCTGATTCCAAATGACCCAGAAATACAGCCAAATCAACTGGTCTTCGATTATCGGAATTCAGTTTATTGAAATCTGCTCCTCTTGCTAACAATAATTTAATGATATCGGAGTGTCCATAAAACACTGCTAGATGCAAAGGGGAACAATTTGGTTTAAAAACAAAATTTACATCAGCTCCATGATTTAATAAAATGGTTACAATGTCATCGTAACCCCCTTGAATGGCAAAGTATAAGAGTTCATTTAAATCATCTGACGTCGAAAGTTTCTTTTTTTCTAAAACGCAAGATACCACTCGTTTTAGACCTTTATTCACGGCGTACCAAAGAAGCGTTTTAGATTTATCTTTAAACTGCTTTTCGATATTGGTTGATTTTTTTTCTAGAAGAATTATACACATATCCTGATATCCCCGCATAAGAGCTTCATGAAGTGGATCCCCATCATTCACATCAGCTCCATATTTGATCAACAGTCGCGTTGATTCAGTGTAATTGTTGGTTGCAGCTAAGCATAGAGCTGTTTCGTTTTTAAACGTTCTGAAGTCCAAACGACATTCTTTACTGGCTAATAGCATATCTATAACTTTCAGATTATTATTTTTGACAGCATGATGTAAGGGTGTATATCCCATTTTGTCGGACACATTAATGTCAACTAATTTAGGGATTAAATATCGAACGATGTCATCATAGCCTGAGATGCAAGCTAAGTGCAAAGGAGTTCTGCCAAAGATATTTTCCCTTTCAATACTAATTCCTCTTTCTACCAGCTTTTTAAAAATGTCAAACCTACTTAGATTAGAGACTAAGTCATTGTAGGTCTCTGTAAAATATTCCTCACCCATAGAATCCATAATTTTAAAATTTAAAACACACATATGCAATAAAGTTTGTCCTTTATAATCTACAGAATGAATATTTGCCTGTTCGGATAACAGTTTATCTACTATTTCAAAATAACCAAGTTTGATAGAAAGGCTCAAAGGAGTAAGATTGAATTTATCTGCTGAATTAATATCGGCTCCACATTCAATCAATCTCAGAGAAATATCTATCGAACCATTTTTTATGCTTTGATGAAGAGGAGTACAGCCATCAGGATCCCTTATGTTAATAGACATCCCATTTTCAATTAAAATATTTATGAGTTCTAAGTTATTATGACGGATTGCATATTTAAATACGGGGAAACCCCGTCTTTCAAGATCTTCAGTACTTGCTCCGTGTTCAATAAAAGATTTTAATACATTTAAATGTCCATTCAAAATGGCTCGTTGCAAAGGTGAAAGTTTTTCTTTGTTAAAAGCATTGAAATCGGCACCATGTTTTAGCAAAACTTCAGCAGTCGATGACTGTCCATTAAAAGCAGCAAAATGAAGTGGAATGTTGTCAGCTGAATCCTTAGCATTTACGATTGCCCCATTAGAAATCAATAATGTGACAATATCTACATGCCCAGCGTAAGCAGATTTATGCAATGGTGTGACCCGTATATCAGATACAGAATTAACATCTGCTCCCTTACTGAGTAAATATTCCACCATGTTCTTGAGTCCCAAGTCAGCAGCAACATGTAATAAGGTCTTTCCTGTTGCATGTCGGATTGAATTTATATCCTGAACATTTTGAAGTAATAAGTCAGCGGTTTTTGCTTTATCATTAATTACAGCTTTGTACAGTGGCGTCTCATGAAACTGACCAACGTTGATTGTAGCTTTGTGATGAAGTAAAATTTCAACGACATCAAAAAACCCATTTTCTGCAGCAATATGAAGAGCTGTTTGATTATAATTAAATTTTTCATCAACTGATATTTCCAAATCTTCTATAATATAAGAAACTGCATCCTTACATCCTGATGCAGTTGCTATGTGAAGAATATTTGTATCATTAACATCTTTGGTCTTAGGATTTAATCCGCGATCAATTAATAACTTTATAATATTAATGTTAGAAGATTTTGAAGCAAAATGTAAAGCTGTTTTCTTGTCAGGTTCCCTTCCGTAAATATCTGCTCCTTCTTTCATCCAATGTTTCACATTAGCTAAGGAGCCGTTAGACAAAGCACAAAACAAACTTTCTTGATTTTCAACAATAGATTTTGCATTCGATAGATTCTTTATGATTTTTATTTTAAAATTTCCTTTACGATAAATATCATGCTTGATAATCTTCAAAGCAAATAAAAATAATGACTGAGTGGAATCCATTAAAACGTCCACAACAGCATTTCCATGAGCTAGATAATTCCTTAGATATCTGCCAACTAATAGAGGACCCTCTTCGTTAGATAGCTGAGTCGTAATCAAAAAAAGATTGGAATGCTCTATGCTAGACAAAATTGATAATGTAAGCATTTCAATTTCCACTTGCATTTTGTGATCATTTTTATAGATGAAAAAGGATTCTGTGTTAGATTCAGATAAATTATGTTTATGTATTATTTTTCTCAAAGATGTAATATCATTCGACAAGATTTCTCGATAAGACGTTAATGATGAGTTTTTTATTTTTTTGATATTATCAGTAGTTATTTTTTTAGTCTTCGTAAAATTTTTCTTTAGTTCCTGTAAGTGTTTGATTTCATCTCCTTGACATTCAGTAATGTAAAATATTTTCAAAATTATAGAATAGATATTTGAAATGCCCTGCTCATCTTCATTATACGAAATATGCTTGAAAATTTCATTAGTTAAATATCCAATTCTTGTTAAGCTTTCTGGAACCATTACAGGTTTTATATCATTTAACCATTGCTTAATATTCTTCTTTCGAATGGAAATGGTGTAACTATTCAGTATACTGTCAGGGATCGATGCACCGTATAGCGTGTTGAGATAGAACTCCAACTCAAGTTTGGACCTATTTAGAAAACTCTTTTCAAAACCAATTATGTCTGCTATTTCTGAAAATATGCTCTCTTCAAAATATGTTTTCACTTTTATAATTTTACTTAAGTCAGAAATCAATTTTTCTAATACAGTAATTACTGTATTGTCGTTACTTGGTAAAATATCTGTTATATCATTCTCAAAATATACAAGTCGAATCATGCGAGAAATGTCTTATATTCACCAATGTCTTTGCAATTGCAAATTCTCTCCAATAAAGTTCTGACAGTTCGAAACTTTATTTTCTGGAGAACTGAAGTTACAGCGCAACTTAAACTTTTCACATCATTCTGAACAAATGTGTAAAACTCAGTACCGTAAAGTTCCTCAATATCTTTGAATGTTGATAAAGGAAAACCATGGGAAAAAGAATCTCTTAAAAATTTTAGAATAGTATTTGTTTTGTTTGGTATGAACACCATCAAAAAATCGTTAGTGGCGGGAGAGAGTTTTGGCGATTCAAGTGTATTTTTAAAATTCTCTCCCAAAACTTGCAATGCTCTAATGATGACAGTTTTTCCACTATTTTCAAAACTGTTCACTTCAGTTGCTACGTCAATATATTTCTTAATAATATTGAGAGATTCATAATCACGAATTACTTCATAATTTTGGTAAAATTCTTCAAAATGCGGATATTTAGAAATGATGCTAGTTACTACATCATAACGTTTTAATTTTTCAGGAAGCTTACTTAACACTTCCTTGTCAATTTTATTAATTTCCTTGGATTCATAGACCAGACATTCACAAAAATTACTAAGATATTTCACAAAGTCATTCTCTGTTACAAAGCAATTGATGTAACTTCCTTGATTGTTCAGATACCGGATAAAGGAAATTAAGTGAAATTCCATTTCTTCCCAANGCTAGGGATCGATGCACCGTATAGCGTGTTGAGATAGAACTCCAACTCAAGTTTGGACCTATTTAGAAAACTCTTTTCAAAACCAATTATGTCTGCTATTTCTGAAAATATGCTCTCTTCAAAATGTGTTTTCACTTTTATAATTTTACTTAAGTCAGAAATCAATTTTTCTAATACAGTAATTACTGTATTGTCGTTACTTGGTAAAATATCTGTTATATCATTCTCAAAATATACAAGTCGAATCATGCGAGAAATGTCTTTATATTCACCAATGTCTTTGCAGTTGCAAATTCTCTCCAATAAAGTTCTGACAGTTCGAAACTTTATTTTCTGAAGAACTGAAGTTACAGCATAACTTAAACTTTTCACATCATTCTGAACAAATGTGTAAAACTTAGTACCGTAAAGTTCCTCAATATCTTTACATGTTGATAAAGGAAAACCATGGGAAAAAGAATCTCTTAAAAATTTTAGAATAGTATTTGTTTTGTTTGGTATGAACACCATCAAAAAATCGTTAGTGGCGGGAGAGAGTTTTGGCGATTCAAGAGTATTTTTAAAATTCTCTCCCAAAACTTGTAAGGCTCTAATGATGACAGTTTTTCCACTATTTTCAAGACTGTTCACTTCAGTCACTACGTCCACATATTTTTTAATAATATTGAGAGATTCATAATCACGAATTACCTCATAATTTTGGTAAAATTCTTCAAAATGCGGATATTTAGAAATGATGCTTGTTACAACATCATAACGTTTTAATTTTTCAGGAAGCTTACTTAACACTTCCTTGTCAATTTTATTAATTTCCTTGGTTTCATAGACCAGACACTCACAAAAATTATTAAGATATTTCACAAAGTCATTCTCTGTTACAAAGCAATTGATGTAACTTCCTTGATTGTTCAGATACCGGATAAAGGAAATTAAGTGAAATTCCATTTCTTCCCAAGGAATTCTGTCATATGTAGATTTTAGCAATTTTTTTAAAGTCATTATTTTTAGTGCAATCTGTTTTGCTAAGAACACCTGCATGATCTTAGATTCGCTCGTTTTGTTCATTGTTTGATATAAATCACTATACTCCAAAATAACTGACAAACTTTCTTGGATATCGTCATGAGAATAATCAGTTGAATCTGATGGAATGACTTGCTGAAAATAGTTATCAAGCAAAAAACTATGTATATATATCTTCATTTCGGTTGAAACATCAACATTTTTTAACAATAACTCATTCAAGCTTTTTGACAGAAGAAAACACAGTTCTTCAGCATGTGATGAAAAATAATCCAATGGCCACTTCTTCATTAAAACTTCAAGAAGTTTCGTATTTCCTGAGCGCACAGCATAATAAAAGGCATTGTGACTTTCTTCATCATTATCGTCAGGCAAAGGAAATGCTCCATCAACTTTAGTGGAGAGATCACTGATAATCGAAGAATCATCACTGAGTATTTGGTTCAAGATTTCTAATCGATTGTGTTTACAAGTCACTATAACAACATTAGTCAATTTAAAGGGATTATCATCAAAATGAAAGCAAGAAATTAAATTGGGGAAAATGTTTACATTACTTAGTAATGCCAAAATACTGGATAATGCTTTAAAACTAACTTCATCATTGATTTCAATCGAAATTTCTATTGCTATCAAAATATTTCTGTAAATACGTCTTTGATTTATTCCATCATACTGCAAAAATTGGTCGATTGATGCATTTTCTGATTTCATCAGCAACATTAATAGCTTTTGCACTTCAAAATCGATCTTCAGATCTTTTTTACCCATCATAAATCGAAGCAATCTATCAAAGAAGAAAAACGATTTAGTTAGAGATAATTTTCGAAGTTCCCATATAAATATATTATTTATCAGAAAATTTCNGATTTTATAAGCATTAACCTTTTTTTACGTGTATTCCTTGTACTAAAAACAATTAATTGTTAAAATTTTTTCGATCATACTGCATACTGCTTCAGAAAAATGTACACGTTCACTTCAGGTTAAAAATAAACTCCACTCCTGTTGCTATCCATTTAAAAAACGTTGAGTTTAAGTTTTTTTGAACAATAAACTTCTCAAATCTTTCATCTCATGCTAATCTGAAATATAATGATATATCTGATAAACTAGCAGCACTGCTGCCTCTCAGTCAAGTGAGAAACCTTTGACTGTACTCAACAACTCAACTCAACTGTCATTTCATGGAGGCAACCACCAGTTTATCTATGGTATAGAAGTGAAGGTCCAGGTACTGCCTTAAAATCTGAGGGGAACAGGAAAGACCTAACTGCTTTAACACATTTTACTTCCGGTCACTTAAGAATCATCAGAATCTCGTGAGGTAACAGGAAGTTTGAGATTTGTACAAATTGCAATACGAATGAAGCTACTTCTTAACACCTGCTAAGTTTGGTGCGGGATGACATTTTAAAGCAACCTGATGTAGTTCGAGGAGTGATGAAGACAAATAAATTCATGGATCTAATCTGATTCAGATCAGTAGGATAAGAGAGAAGGGAAGAAGAGTTCTTAAGTAATCAAACAAGTGCATCTATGGTATAGAAGCAAGTGAAGGTCCTGCTACTGCCTTAAAACATGAGGGGAACTGGAAAGACCTAACTGCTTTGACGCATTTTACTTCCGGTCACTTAAGGATCATCAGATTCTCGTGAGGTAACAGGAAGTTTGAGATTTGTACAAATTGCAATACGAAAGAAGCTACTTCTCAACACCTGCTAAGTTTGGTGCGGGATGACATTTTAAAGCAACCTGATTTAGTTCGAGGAGTGATGAGGACAAGGACAAATGAATTCATGGACCTAATCTGATTCAGATCAGTATAATAAGAGAGAAGGGAAGAAGAGTTCTTAAGTTATCAAACAAGTGCATCTATGGTATAGAAGCAAGTGAAGGTCCAGGTACTGCCTTAAAATCTGAGGCGAAGAGGAAAGACCTAACTGCTTTAACACATTTTACTTCCGGTCACTTAACGATCATCAGATTCTCGTGAGGTAGCAGGAAGTTTGAGATTTGTACAAATTGCAATACGAATGAAGCTACTTCTCAACACCTGTTAAGTTTGGAGCGGGATGACATTTTAAAGCTACCTTATGTAGTTCGAGGAGTGATGAGGACAAATAAATTCATGGATCTAATCTGATTCTGATCAGTAGGATAAGAGAGAAGGGAAGAAGAGTTCTTAAGTCATCAAACAAATGCATCTATGGTATAGAAGCAAGTGAAGGTCCATGTACTGCCTTAAAATCTGAGGGGAATAGGAATGACCTAACTGCTTTAACACATTTTACTTCCGGTCACTTAAGGATCATCAGAGTCTCGTGAGGTAACAGGAAGTTTGAAATTTGTACAAATTGCAATACGAATGAAGCTACTTCTCAACACCTGCTAAGTTTGGAGCGGGATGACATTTTAAATCAACCTGATGTATTTCGAGGAGTGATGAGGACAAATAAACTCATGGATCTAATCTGATTCAGATCAGTAGGATAAGAAGGAAGGGAAGAAGAGATTTTCACTAATTAAACAAGTTCATCTATGGTATAGAAGCCAGTAAAGGTCCAGGTACTGCCTTCAAATTTGAGAGGAATAGGAAGGACTTAACTGCTTTAACACAGTGATGCAGAGCATGGAGTCCCAAAATAATGAGTGCGCCAAAAAACATCGATAAAGTGAGCCAAAGGGTGAGTTTGGCGTGGTTCCTTCTTGCTGTTGGGGTTGCACCCAATTAGGAATCAGTAGAAGCGTTACCTAGCTGTTGGAAGGTGACTAGATTAAGATATAACGCCCTGGTGAGTAATCCTAGCTTCTTTCCCCCTTTTGTATTACTTAATGTTATTGTATTAATATGTAATCAAGAATATTTTAAATCATTAAATTCTTAATCTAACGTTAATATGTGTTATCTAATTTTAACTCAAGTTAACATGATACATACTAAAGACGGCTATAATTAATAGTCGTATCAACAGTTTACTTTCGGTCACTTAAGGACCATCAGATTCTCGTAAGGTAACAAGAAGGTGGAGATTTTTACAAAGTGCAATACGAATGGAGCTACATCTCAACACCTTCTAAGTTTGTTGCGGGATGACCTTTTAAAGCAACCTGATGTAGTTCTGGGAGTGATTAGGACAAATAAACTCATGGATCTAATCTGATTCAAATTAGTAGGATAAGAAGGAATGGAAGAAGAGGTCTTATATAATTGAACAAGTGCATCTATGGTATAGAAACTATTCGATGAAATAATGTGTCTTCTGAAACATTACAAATTAGTGTTTTTTACTATCAAAGTGTTATTAATGTTGTCATTTGTTTTTAAGTTATTTTATGTCAAATTTTTTTTGAGTCTCTTGATCATTCGAAATTTATGGGACAAATAAGTCCTTCAAACTTTTCAAGTAGACTGTTAGCTAATTCACTAAATTGATCCCATTTAAGCATCAAACAACACATTACAGTATTTTCAAACTTTCCCGTCTCACTTACCCGACTACCTAGTTGGCACTATTTGTCATGGCGGTATATATTTGAAAAAAAGCACCACATGTTTGAAAAGGAATTGGGTTTTAAAATATAAGTATAATTTGTATCATTTCACGATGATCTGAATCTTAATTTGATGATTTTTTGATGATAATTTGATGAGGAGAGGTATTATATATCCCATTTATGAAGACTGATAGAATACGTACCTCCTACGGCCCAACTGAAAAGAGATGAGTCCCATTTTTCTTTAAAAAAATAATTTGTTTTATTTTATAATTATAGTTGCACAGCCTACCTAATTTTTGGTCTACGGCTATCAATGTTCAATTTCGTAACCTTCAAATTTTGAACCCAACCCAGAATATAAGGGAACTCCTGGATCAAGGATTGGGTGAAATTTGCCTTCGTGGAGAAATTTTTGATGGAACTAAGCCGCATTTCCATTACATGGAGTGAAAAACCATGAAATCCGTCCAGGGTTTGCTTGGCGGCAAGGGAACTGTAACCCATGATCCGTTAACCACTGAGGATATATTACGCCAGTACTGTAGTCTGTGGCCAACACAGCTCTAAATAGTTTTTCGCACCTCTCTTTGAGCAGCCGACCGAGTTTGGATTTAAGACCACGAATGTTCAACTCTTTAACCTTGTAATTTTGAACCAAGTAAAAAATACAAGGGAGCTCCCGGATCAAGTATTGGGAGAAATTTTGCCTTCGTGGAAAACTTTTTGATGGAAGTAACTCGTATTTGCCTGACACGGAGAGAGAAAGCCCTGAAAACCTCTCACAGTTAGTCTGACGGCAAGGGGATTTATTTTATAACCACCGTTGAACAGCCCACCGAATTTTGGGTTTACGATTGCAAAACAACGTGCTGCCAAAAAAAAAACCTAAGAGTGTAAGGGTCTTCGCTGTTTTGGGTGTTCACTGCCTCTAACTAGCCCCGACGATTTCCTCGCAAAAATTGTTGTTTCAAGTTGTATTATTTTTTTTAAAATAACATTTCTATTGTTGTAACATTATGTAACAATATATTGTTAGACAAATTTAATGAGTTTACATCCGTCTTTAAATGTTCGCTTATCAAACCGGCGGATAGATTAAATACTATTCAGCTATATTTAAATTATTACTTAAAATAACCTTACAAAATGAATCAAAATAAATACTTAGCACATAACTAATTTTTATCACTACTGAAATTTTACTTAACCACTTCGAGATGGGCGAGTCAGATATGAATCATCAGGAAGGCCACAATCAGGGTAAAAAAAATTAAACTGGTAGGCAAAATGTTTCTATAACAGTTTATTTGGGGGTGGAGTAATAATAGTTTGATTTACTTAATATATCACTACTTAACCGGAGAGTGAGGAGAACCGCTATCGCGCTTCACCTGTTATGTGCCAAAAATGCGGAGAAGTGCGATAACGCGTCTCTTGTTTTGTACCGAAAATGCGGAGATGCTGCTGTTGGTTAGTATAATTTTCACATCTATTGAGAGCAGTTGAATTCATATCAATTGCAGTTTTTATTCATTTTACTCAATTGTGAGTTTTATTGTGCGATGAAATTATTACACATTTCATTCCGCACTATAAGTATATATATAAGAAAACTCTTCAGCTCTCAAACGGTTAATTCAAAATAAAAATTATTTAGTTACACTTTGAACTGAAATTTATAAGACATGTAAGAATTAAAGTGAAAGCAAAAACAAGACTGTTAAATTGCAAAAACTAAGCTTTGTCCAAACTCAATCCCTTAACTTGCGCGTTCGAGGTAATTCGAGAGGTCTAAACAGGCCAAACTGTGCACACTCGAGATAATTCGAGCACGTTGTATTTTATGCTACTATAATTTTTCACACTCGAATATAATCGAAAATAATGAATGAACTCGAGAATTGAAAATAACGATGTGAAAGCTAAGAAAAAAATTTTTTTTTAATGATATTTATCATTCACATAGGATTGTAACCTATAACACTTATTTATTCAAGAATAAAATATACCGAGATACCAACTTGCTCCGGACAGCAAATATATATTTTAAAGTGGTAGTTTATCACTTGGGATTCTTGGTTTAATAAATTTAATTTAGTAGATTTTTATCCACCACTATTTCTAAATAATTATTATTCTTATGTAATTCACCACTTTATGGTATTGAAGTCATGATGCACAAAACTTTATCGAAAGTTCGGCTTCTGCTGCCAACTGATGCTGTTCATGCTCTACTGATGTCCTCTTCTCCCTTGCGATGCCAGTCATGCTGATTTGAAGCTGATT